ACACAAAACACAATACAAATAAATAACACTTGAAGTTCGACAAGTTTAACATATAAAAATTCAGAAAAACAATATCAGTTTACATTAAAGCATCATCATGAAAAGTTCACTTGTGATGATTTCAATTAACTTGGGTAAAGATTCCACCGAACTAGCTTGACACTTGTTAGACAAAGCAACCAAACACTTTCAAAACAAATTCAAAGAAAATTCAAAGCAAGTTTCACAGGAAATGCAAAACAAAAATATGTAATGCTTGAGTTGTCTCCTAAGATAACATTTGCTTTATTGTACTTAACCAGAGCAAATATCAAATCAAGCCTAAAAGTCCTCTTTTGGGATCAAATTTTAATCTCAGTAATCCCTGATCGATCGTCTAATCTTTTGTTTATTCTGAAGCTTTCACTAAATCCTCAAGTTTCAGTTCTTGCAACTTCTCACTCTCAATTCAATAACAATCTTCCAAGTTGTATGTAGGGGGTTGATTCATATTATAATTCTTAAGAGTATTTTTTAGATCCAGAGCTCTCCCAATTAAATCCTCTTTTTCTTGACAACATTTGCTCCACCAGTTTCAAGAAATGGTTCTCTAAGAGGCGAGTCAGGATTTTTTTAGTCTTTGGCTAGATTCTCACAAGATTTTTTTAGGTTGAGGATGCAACTCTACAGGGCTACTTCTTTTTCTAGGGCTATTTTTCAACTTCTCCGTACTCCTAAGTCTCATATCCTACACTTGTTCTTTACATCCTTAGGATTCACTTCAGTGTTACTAGGCTGCGTCCCTTGGGGTTCATTGCTTAAAAAGTCCACTAATTACCCAATTTAATTCTTTATGTTTCTCTTGTTTGTGACTTGGCTTTGTAACTGATTCTCTATATTTACAATCAATTCTTCCAAAAATAAGTTTTCCCTAAATCCGAGGTTATAAGTGAATCCACATCAGTAAGTTCTAAAGTGGTCATTGCACTGACTGTTCTAATTTTCTGTGGAATTGGCTTGGGTGCCTCCTCACTACTGGTTTCCTACACTTGGGTTGTTATTGTTTCAATTGAAGTTTACGTAGTTTGTTTTGCTTGTTTTGTAGGTGTTAGAATAGGGGTTGTTGAACTTAGTTCCGATAACATCCAGGGAAGTGATGCTAGCATCACTGTTAGTCCATAAGCCATCTCACCATTGAGTGGATATCTTGTCATTGAATTCATTCCTAAGCTTTCTACTCTCCTTGAAATGTCGGTAATTTATGAGACTAAGATAATCAACACATCAATCTTATGCGCAGTAGCTATCTTCTTAGAGTTGACTCTCAGGTGACCATTTAAATTTGTTCGTACAATTTTCAAAATCAGTGAGTAGGCTGCCTCAAATGATTTGGACATAAAGGACCTCCTAGCTGAAGCATCTATAATTAACCTCAAGCATCTCATCAGCCCATTGTAAAAGGTTTGGATAATCAACCAGTTAGGTAAAACATGTTGTTGGTATTCCCTAAATAGTTCTTTGAATCTCTCTTAAGCTCCATAAATATTCTCTTCATCTAATTGATTGAAGAACATGATGTCTTTCCTAAGTTTGACAGTCTTGAATGGAGGAAAGTATTGGGCCATGAATTTTTTTGTTAAGTTATTCGAGGTCGTGATCGATTTTGGTGCTAAGGAGTTTAGCCATCTCTTGGCTTTATCCATAAGTGAGAAAGGGACTAGCCTTAATCTAACGACATTGTCGGAGATTCCGCTAAACTTGAAGATAACATATGTTGAATGGAGGTATGGGTGTTTTGTGGGTGATCTCCCAAAATAGTTGGTTTGAATTATTAGGATAAACACTGATTTAAGTTCCAATGTAGGAGCTTGTACAGTAGGGTAATTAATACTCATGTGAATTCCAACTATCGATGGGATGACATACTCTTTAGAGGTTTTTGATGGTAATCCTGGGGGTTTGTCATTTCTAAGTGTTTCTTTTTGAGTTTGAGTTTTTTTTTTAAGTTTTTATTTTATTTCATGGTTGAAGGGTGGCAATTCACCTAAAAGACTCCACAAATGCAATGATAAGTGTGCGAAGGGTGAACTTATTCTAAATCAGAAAGTGCAAAAAAAAGGAAAACATGAAAGAAAAATACATAGATAATGCAACAACTGAACGTGAAATATGTAATCCTGGAAACAAAAATAATTATACAAATGATTTTTTTGGATTTTTGTATTTTTCAGAAATAAGAACATCATAGAATTATAATAAACATACAAATAAACTAAAAAAAATAAAATATAATTTGAACCTAAACCAAGTGTTTCAACAAAAATTCTCCTAAAATCAGAAAATTTTAACTCGTTTTCTCAACAATGATGCTAAAAATTTGATATCTGAAATTGTTGCGAGGCAATCGATCAATCACACAAGTATATATATCGATCAAGTAATATACTGATTAAGAGTTCACATATGATCCCCCAGGAAAAATTGTCAAAATATTCCAACATGCGAGTTTTATTTTACTAATCATTTAAATCTAGTTTGAAGTGTCAGACATGTAAAGGGTAAAAGTTTTAAAATCCTAAAAGGCATTAGTTTTGTGGAGGCTTTTAAAAGATGAAAGGTTCCTATTCTTGTGACACCAGTGTAATGATTTTTTGATATTTTTTCTATGAAATCTCGTATTATTATTGAAAATCAGGAATAAGTCCTTAACCTATATCTAAGTCATAAAAAGTGTTAGAAATCATATTACAGTTAAGGAGTCTTAACCATATAACATTTCCCAAGAATATTCTAGTCCCCTAGTTAGATTGTGATTTCCTGATGATAAAATTTCTATTCCACTAAGCTTTTATATGACAAACTACTTATTTTTCTTGTTACAGTTAGAAATCTTAGATCAAAAGTAATTTTAACATTCTATCGCGAACTAAATTAAGACCAGAAAGTTAATACATCAACATATAAAATTCAAGCACAAAAAGACACCTCGGAAACAAAATTCATAGGATAAAAAAATGAGAAAACTACATGTCTTGTATCACAAAATTAAGAAAATAAGATTAGTTATGATGCATGAGAACATAAAACACGAAAATTATTATTGTGAGTATAGAAAGAAAAATAAATTTAAGCGATGCAGGAAACTCAAATCTGAGTCAATCGCTCCTTGTAATACATCTTGATCCTCTCTGTTTAATACAAGCTTTTTGTAGTTGTCCCTCATGTAAATGCACTCAATCTCCCATCACAACCTCTCCAAACTCTCAATAGAAAAACATGAACAGAGGAAAAATAATAAAATTTTTTGTCGAGCGAACCCGCCCTAGGGAGAAACCTTTGAGCTCAAAGAATCTTCTAAACCCTAGAGGCAAAGCCCCAAAGGCCAAAATTGAAGTTTTAGTCTTCATACATCTTCTTATATAGATTAGGGATTCAAAACCGCCTCCAAACATGCCAAATTTGTAAAAACGCTATTCTGGACGAACTTAGGCGTAGGTATGCCAAAACCGACTTAGCTATCCTGTTTCTAGCATTTGTACGTCAGAAGCCAGCATAATTACGCTTATATAGCAGCGGACACGGTGTAATTATGCTAGAGTACGACGTAATTATATCAGTCCTTTAAATTTTGTCACTTCGTGTTTTGGCTCTACAAAACGCGCTAGACATCAAACCTACAAATGACAACAAATATACTCTTCACAAGCATAAAATCATGATAAATAGAGAAGAAAATAAGGTTTTTCAAGCAGGAAAATAATGTTAATTTGAGTCGAATCAGGTAACGCTATATTAAGTGCTAGTTAGTTCAGTATTTTTTTCTGATAGCAGTGTTATGTAGATTTCACTATTATTTGTATAGTAATTTCATTTTCAAATATAATTAATTTGATTCAATGATATCTTACCCTAAGATTATTTTATTTTTTAGAATAATCAATGGTCATTATTATCTTTTTATTTTGACATTTCTTTCAGTCATTTTAAGGAAATATGCTTGATTGGGATGTCACCTAGATGTTGCAAAATAGAACTGAAAATCACGTTAAATTTGTGGTTTCAAGACATCAGATATTAATAAAATGATTTTAAAAATTAACAACATTATACTTTGTTGTGAGATATGTACTTTCTGGCATAGAAATGAAACGCAAAGAACAAAAGCAAACACAGATCGTTTACGTGGTTCGATCTAACTGGATCTACGTCCACATGAGAGAATCAATCAAATAGTTCACTAAGGCAAAATAAATGGAGAATACATAGCTTATACATAGAGATGAGCCATCATATTCCTTCTATGGCTTTCCTCTCAAGCAACACCTTGATACAAAGCCTCAAGATGCTCTCCTCTTCTCTAGCTCTCTAGTTATTCTCTTCTCCTTTGTGATAGCTTAAGATCTCTTCTCTTGCTCTCCTAAGCCTCACACACTCTCTATTTATAGAAGCAAGAGAGTGATAGGTGAGAGGTACGTGAGCGGTATGTGAGATGTGGTAGGTGAGCGGTACCACATTACAAAAGTGTCATTTAATCTTAGTTCAATAATTGGGGGTCAAAATAACAATTCTCCACCTTGACCCTCAATTGAGAAGCTTTGAAGCAAAGATTCCCTCCACCTGGCCCCTGAGGGGCCCTCAGCCCTTGCTTGAGTTTGCTAAGTCCAAACTGTACATGGACTTAGCAATCACGGTTCTTCCGATAAGAGAGTACAACCCTTTTTTCCTGACTCCTTGCATGACGACACGAGGGCCTTTGGTTACTCTGATGCAGTCTTTCTTTGCCTTGAACGAGCATCCGCTTGACTCTAGCATAC